TTCAATTTCTCCTGGTGACATTTCTTTCCTCTTGGAGTGTTTCACACTTTGATTTATGCTGTGTGTGTTAGCGATGTTTTCTACAAATACCCTGTAGATAGTTCCCATGTACAATTCTGTCCATAGCAGCACATACGAGCTATTCATTAGGAGCCCAAGACTTCAGGAGAGAGCTGAAGAAATAAATCATTAAAACTGAAGGTCCAGACATGTCACCAACGATGAAATACAAAGGAGTAAGTAGGATTTGAAAAACAAATTTAGCTTACTAGTAGGTGAAAAGAAAAATAATCAGAATTAAAACAACAGGGTAGGAAGGTAGAATAAGGTTAGACAATAATAGGATGAAAAAGAATACTCATTACTACAGAGAGAATATAATTTGGTAAAATCACCTTTCAAGAGACCAGAAGATATCATAATAGTTATGTCACTGGACTGCCACATGACTACCTGAGGTTTGAGTCCAGATCTGGCTGCTTGAAACACATGCTGGGTGTGTGTGTCTGCATCCCTAAAATCTCAAGAGGAGAAGAGAAGTGAAGGGATTGTGGCAAGGTCATCACTCCTGTGGTTTTTTTCTCATTTTCTTTCTCTCTATCTCTCTGGAGAGTGCACATACCCTATAGCAAAAATCTATCTAAAAAAAGAAAAAGGAAAAACTTGTCTTTTTTTAATTTTTCATCTTTTTTGGGAGAGAAGTTCTTGCTACAGGGTGCATGCACTTGTCAGAGAGACAGAGAGACAGAAAGCAAGAAATCACCCCCCAGGGGGGATGGCCATGCCACAATCCCTTCTCCTCCAGTCTCCTTTCGGGATCTTGGGCACGCATGCACATGTGCCCGGCGTGAGTATAAGCCACTGGGTCTGGGACTTGAATGGCAGTAGACTACATGGGAGTTCAGTGACATAGCCATTACACTAACTGCTGGTCCCAGAAAAATTTATCTTTCAAAACCAATTCAGAAATATGTGTTATGCACATTTATGAACATGCTGGACATTAACTTTAGCATATATTTTAAACTATTGGTCATATAGTTTCACTTCTAGGAATATGTCCAAAAAAATAAGTGGCTTACTCATGTGTATATATGTGTAGGTGTTCTGGACTAGAGTTTAATAAACTTAATCAGAAGGATCAGGCCCTTTCACTTTATTCCTGAGTTTTCTTAATAAGCCTAGTAGTTCTTCACTCAACCTGTATATCAGCATGACCTGAGAGCTTTAAATAGTCCAGAAGATACGACCCATTAATCAAATCTCAACTTCGCTGCATTGAGAATTAAATATGAGCACCTTTCCATGGTTGTAAGAGCATCAGTTGACATTCATCTCCCAACATCATGGAATATGGTGCTCCCATTGTTATGTCCAACCACAGAAGTAAGACTTTTCCCTGTGCCAGGGACTGGTTCTGCACTTCCCTCAAATAATGGGCTCTTTTACATCTCTTAAGCCCAGTTTAAATTTCCCTTCCAAAGGATTGTACTGGCAATTTCTCTAAAGTAGCTGCTTCCTCTCCTTACTCCCATTACCATTTCATCATCAATGTTTTCATTTTCTTTACCACGTTTACTGGGTAGCAGCTCATCTGGACTCTAAGCTACATGGAATCTCTCCTGCTCTGCCTCTGGTGCTAAATACACAATAAGTATTCAATTGATCACAAGACTTCTGTGTCATAAGAAATTCCCAGTGTTTTCAGAAATTTGAGAGAGTCCCAGTGTTCCATGCTGGGTTAAAAGGAATAAAAATTATGTAACCATGTTCATAGATAAGACTGCTGAAGAAGAAACCTGGGACTGAGGACCAGCTGTTGGCATAATGGCTATGTCACTGAAATCCCATGTAGTTGACCACAGTTCAAGTCCTGGACCCGGTGGCTTAAACTCATGCTGGGCACGTGCACGCGCATGCCCAAGATCCTGAGAGGAGAATGGAGGAGAAAGGGATTGGAGTGTGGCCATCCCCCATAGGGGATGATTTCTCACTCTCTGTCTCTCTGTCTCGCTCTGGATTTCTGGTGAGCACACACACCCTATAGCAAAAACCTCTTTAAAAAATACCCCAAAACCTAGGACTGAATAATACTCTGCAGAGCTATATTTGTTGCTTAATGATTTCTTTCAGGAATTATTAAGAAATTAAGGAGCATTCTTTTTGGAAATGACACTATACATATAGTTTTATTTTCATTATTTTTTATAGTTACATTGTACAAAATATTCATGAACACAGGATTAAAAATACTAAATCTTTGTTCCGAGGAAAAATAGAGGGTTAGGTTCCTGCAAGTCTTGAGTCACAATCTTTTTGTCGATTCATCTACAAGTAAACTTGTTTAGTGAGATAATCTTAAAGATTCCAAATTTAATGTATATTGTTGATTCATTAATGATTCATAAACATGAACTCAAAACCACAATGAGATACCACCTAACCACAGCCAGAATGACTAAGATTTTTTAAAAAATAATAAGTGCTACCATGGCTGTGGAGAAAGAGGAAATCTCCTAAACTGCTGGTGGGAATGTAAATTGATCCAGCTACCGTGGAGAACAATATTGAGAATCTTCAAAGATCTACAAATAGAACTACCATATGATCTATCAGTCCCACTCCTGGGTATCTACACAAAGGATAGGAGAACCTCAGTTAAAAAATGCTGGCACATCTATGTTAACTGTGGTATTATTCACAACTGCTAAGACATAGAACCAACCTAAATGTCCACGATCAGAGGAATGGATTGAAAAGTGTGGTACATATACCCTATGGAATACTACTCAGCCATAAAAAACAAGACCCTAGCTTTAGATAAAATGTGGATGAGTATGGAAGGTTTACTTCTGAGTGAAGCAAGCCAGGCAACAAAGGAAAGATATTGTTTATCCCCACTTAATACATACTGACTTTTCATGCTCCATTACTCAAACTGAAAGATTACAAGGTATTAAAATTGGTTATGGATACTGAATACAGTGAGGGAAGTTATGGATACTGAATACAGGTCAGAGAAGAAGGAGAGTGTGATGAAAGACATTAAGGAAAAAATAGAGAGGCAAGAAATTTATGAGACAAAGAAATGGGTTATTATGTATTGATAACATGTATAATATCCTCAACTGAACTGGTGTAAAGTGTATTTATTTTGTGAAAATTTACTTTACAAGCTAAGTGACTGAGTTTATGAAAGAAATTAAAACAAAATGAAATCTATCTAAAAAATTGAACTCAGGGAAGGGGCACTACAACTCATGCCTAAACCAAGATGCTCTAACACACATATTTTCTCTATAAGACACATTGTGCCTTCTTGAGCTTAGGAACACACGAGATAGCTCTTTAGCAGAGAGAGAAAGGGAGAGAGAGAGAGAGAGAGAGAGAGAGAGAGGAGAGAGAGAGAGAAAGCACCCCTGGGGATGGACATGTCACAATCCCTTCTTCTCTATCCTCCTCTCAGTACTACTTTGGGAATTCATGAATGCATGTCCAATGTGTTTTTTATGTTGTCAGGTCTGGGACTCAAACCACAGAGTTGTCCATGTGGTATTCAGTCATCTTAAATATCATGCTACAAGATAGCCCTGAAATTACCACCAAAAAGCACAAAAATGTAAAAGCCATTGCACTAAGCAGACCACACAGGAAGCACATTTGTTTGTAGTCTGAGAGCTAAAAGAAGGCAGAGCATTGCCTGTTTGACACTAGCTGCGAACATTATGTTAGACAACTGAATTTTCACCACTCTGCACACGTCCATGACTTCAAAAGCACTGTAAAGATCAACTTGGAGGTTCCAAGTGAGCGTTAGTGAAGAGAAAAATTTAAAATATCCATGAATAATGATTGTAACAATTGGAAGACTCAGTGGCTGTCATCTCAAGATAAAAGAAAGATAAAAGGAAGTTTATTGAGAAAGAGTTTTTGGTGTCTGTAGACAGAGGTGCTTCAGCTCTCTCTCCATAAAAGAGGAGGGTCAGGACCAGCAGTTAGCATAATGGCTATGTTGCTGAACTCCCAAGTAGTCGACGACAGTTCGAGCCCTGGACCCGGTGGCTTAAACTCACGCTGGGCATGTGTGCGTGCGTACCCAAGATCCCAAGAAATGAATGGAGGAGAAGGGACTCCAGCGTGGCCATCCCCCCTGGGGAGGGTCATTTCTCGCTTTCTGTCTCTCTGTCTTTCTGGTGAGCACATGCACTCTATAACAAAAATCTCTTAAATTAAAAAAAAAAAGGAGGGTCTTTAATAAAGCAACTGATTACACTATTTGGGGATGTTGTATGCACATTCTGCAGATAAGAAACACTTTTTGTTTTTTGCTTTATTCAGGCTGTTAGACTTTGTACTTGTTTTGTGTCCCTGTGTAACAGATTGGGGTCAGCATTCCCTTACAATGATACTCCATCTTAAATCAATTTTAGAAACAATATTAGCAATATTAGCAATATTTGTTTTACCACATATACATTCAGATTCTATCTTTTGCCATAAAAAATTGTATGACTTTGGTCAATCACTTTTCATCTCTGGTCCTTAGGATGAAGGCATGACACCATGTGATTGTTAAGATAATTGATCTTTCAGTGTAATGATTTTATCAGGTATTTTTTTCCACATTGGGGAGACAGAATCATTTCTAGCACCATGAACTTTAGAAACACATCTATTGTGGGACTAGTAGATGGCATAATGGTTACACCGTCTGGACTTGTTGGACTCCCAAGTAGTCAATCATGATTCAAGTCCTGGACCTGGTAACTTAAAATTCATGCTGGGTACATGTGCGTGTGCATGTCCATGTGTGCCCAGAATCCTGAGAGGTAAGTAGAGAAGAGACTTTGGTATGGCCCTCTACCCAGGGGAGTGATTTCTTACTTTCTGTCTCTGTCTCTGTCTCCCTGGTGAGTTCATGTGCCCTATAGCAAAAAAATTTATCTTAAATAAAAGAACCAAACACATCTATTGCAAACTAACACTTCATTTCTGTGAAGGATTCTGTCTCAGAAGATAATTCCCGGAACCTAACTTTTGACTTCTTCATGCAAAAAACTGTTTGCCGGAAATATAGTGGAGCAGATCTCTTTACATGTGCCTTCAAAAGAAGGAACAGATGGGTGAGTGTAATAGAAATGAAATGAATCTCAGAAACTAACCCAAAGAAGATCCTTGCTTCTTCTATGGCCTGGAGCTGACTCAGAGTCTCATGAAGAGCTCAGCCACTGCCTGTCTGGCTTCTGGCCACACCACTGTGTCGATGTGTTCCCTGGAGGGGACAGTGTGATTTAGCGATGGAGGACTTGAGCTGTGGAGTATCTTATCCTGGCAAATTATTTAATCTCTGGTGCTTCCATTTCATACTCTTGATGTTTGTGCGACACAGATAAGGCTTATTGTCTGTTGACGAGTATGTGTATGATGGTCTCAACTGGCCTGGAGCGAGGTGTATATCATGCTGGGTAAAGTCTCTTCACAATCTAAATGATGTGTTGCAATTTAATATATGAACAATAATTTTAAAAATCAATAAAAAAGTAAATAAAAAATAAAATGGGGCTGAATTTGTATCAGGAAAAGTAAATAAAAAGAGGCCAATGACAAAGAGAAATAATAGACACATTTCCAATTCTATGATATATAGTATCCCTAACTGGACTGATGTATTCATGTTGTGAAATTCACTTTACAAGATAAGTGATGTATAGTGGTTGAATATATAAAAGATATTGAAATAAAATATATTAAATTAAAAATAAAATAAATGATGGAACCAGCAGTTGGTGTAATGGCTATGTTGCTGGACTCCTATGTAGTCGACTGCAGTTCAAGTCCTGGACCTGGTGGCTTAAAATTACACCGGGTGTGTGTGTTTGCGTGCTCAAGATCCTGAGAGGCAAGTGGAGGAGAAGGCATTGCAGCATGGTCATTCCCTCACGGGGTGATTTCTCACTTTCTGTCTCTCTGTCTCTCTCTGTCTTTCTGGTGGGTGCATGCACCCTATAGCATAAACGTCTACAAAGAAATAAAATAAAATAAATAAATTAATGGAAGGTTTGACTATGTTCCTGGCATGTGGCATTATTGTTGTCCTTCACCTGTTCCTGTTGAGGATTGATTCTAAGATCCCTTCAGAGATAGCAAAATGCCCCTGTGTGTATATTTCTTTTCCTCCATCATTTTGCCAAACCATACACCATTGACTGATTTATTGGGTAGAGGTTAATCCTTTGTGAAAGTAACTACATGTATTTCATTCTTTTGCCTTTTCCAGAATGCAGTCCTGTGTGAGAGCAGAGTGAAGGTGTCTGAAAACAGACTGCAGTCGGTGATTGCTGAATGTCACCGCATCTAGAATCCGCCAGTACTTTCCAACCTTGAGGTATAACCAGGGGTTTAAGTTCAGTCAGACAGTGCCTCCTGGGGGCTAAGTATGGCACAGTGGTTTGATATTGTAGCTGGATTATTGCACGGGAATGGTAAGCATATCTGCTGGTACAGCTAGAATCTCCTGATACATCTACAAGCTTGTAGTTCATAACACTTACTTCTCCCAGTCTTCCCCCCTGCTTCCATTCTCTGTCTTTCTTTCTCTCTTCCCCCAATCTCTCTCTTGTTCTCTGAGATTTGAGACACAACATTAAAGTAACAGTTAACAAATCTTTAAATTAATGAGCTAAGTATCTAGCTCCCTGATACTGTGGTTTAGTGAACAAAGGGCATTTTTTTGTTGAACTAGTGGTAACTGGTTGCTGTCAAACTACTTATCAGCTCTGCAGTCTAGGTTAGGCTATTTAACCTTAATGATCCATGAATTCTGCATCTGTGGCATGCCAGTAAGAAAGACCACCTTAAAGATTTTGAGAGAATCAAGCGGGTGTGGCTCTGAAAGATATTTAAGATTTTCTTTTATAAGATCCTTGGCTAGAGCCCAGGATCAAGTGTCTCCTTTTCCAGACTGTACTAAAATAGCTAGGAAGTCATATATGTTCTGCAGTAACACACACACTTGCGGTCCAGTTAGCACAAGTGCTAAGAATATCAAGTCCCATGCACTCTGTTAGTAATTTTTTTTGTGGTTTATATAAGCAAAAAGACAGTGAGGAACAGAATGAGTACAATCCTGGTTCTCGTAGGCTTTATAGATTATTTTGGTGTAAGGGTGCTCTTTAAACAGCAATTTCCTGACTGCCAGGCAAGCATTTAGGACCATATAGCATAAGGAATGACTATCATGTGCAAACAGTGAGAGCTTTCTGAAGAAATGGATGTTCAAAGCAACATCAGGACAGTTAACAGAAGCTGGGTAACAGAACCATATGAAGACTAGATTGGAACTAGGTAAGAATAAATATGGTGCCCCTGGAGGTGGACTGAGAGATAGTAGAGAATGCTGATGGGGGCTAAGCTTTCATTGTCCTGTAAAGAAACTGCATCAGCAGTCATCCTCTAGTCTCATTTCTCCCCACACTTGGAAACCATTAGTGTGTTTTCTGTCCATGTATTTGTCTCTTTTGGACATTTCATATAAGTGATATCAAAAAATGTGTTCTTTTGTGACTGCTTTATAGCATTTAGAATAATGTCTTGGAGGCTTGTACTTGTATAGCATATATTAGAATAATGTCTTGGAGGCTTGTACTTGTAGAACATATATCAGTATGTTATACCTTATCATTGTCAAATAATGTTTCCCATTGTATGGATATGCCACATTTAATTTGCCCATTTATTAGTTGATTAGCAATTGAGTTGTTTTGAGGAGAAGATTCCTCATGGCTCCTGAGAACTAGTCACTTCAGGGGAAAAAGAGAAATGAACATTTCCTATTGATAACTCAGCCTTCAGCCCACAAACTTGAGTGGCATCACAATGGAACTGCAATGAGATTACAGATCACCTCTTTCTGCATGCTCCTGAACATTCAGATTAGGAAGAAACACACCATCCATCAGATGACTAGAAATCACTGTGGGACAACAAGAAATATAGGAAAGCAAGAAAACACCTGTCCTCCAAGGGAAAAGAATAAGTCCTCTTCATCTATAGATAGTTCAATGGAAATTATGGAAATGTCTGGTAAATAATTTAGAATATTCATAATGACGAAGATAACAGACATGAAAGAGAAGCGAGACAATGAACTGCAGAATAGAAAGGAGAGAAAATGATGAGTTCCAGGAGGTGAGGAAATTCTTGTAAGATCTAAAGGAGGAATTACACACTTTAAAAAAGAATCAAACAGATGAATATAGAGCTGAAGGCTATAATACAGTAAGTCAAAATCTCCCTTCAAATAATTAAAAGCAGATTAGATTATGCAGAACATAGAATCTCAGACATAGAAGAGAAAATTGCTGGCCTATAAAAATCCACCATGAAGACTGAGAAAATGGCCCAAAACAATGAGAATAATATACGAGAAATACTAGATACCATCAAACGTCCAAACATCGGGATAATTCATATCCCAGAAGGCAAAGAGTGGGGCATTGGTAATCTATTCCATGAAATCCTGCAAGAAAACTTTCCAAACCTAGAGAGGCACTCAAAGATCCAGTCTGAATAAATACAAAGGACCCCAATTAGAATCAGCCAAAGAAGTTCTTCTCCAAGACACATTACAGCCAGATTGAACAAAGCCACAGACAAAGACAAGATACTAAGATTGACAAGAGAAAAACATCAAGTTAACTACAAAAGATTTCCCATCAGGCTAGCAGCAGACCTCTCATCAGAAGCAATGTCAGCAAGGAAAGAACGGGAAAATATATTCAAAGTGTTAAGGGAAAAGCAACTTCAACCAAGAATATTGTACCCGGCAAGATTATCCTTCATGTAGGAAGAAAAGACAAGAATATTTTCAGATGAACAAAACCTGAAAGAATTTACCAGCACCAGATCAGTCTCTGAGAAGTTCTCAAGGGAGTGCTATATCAGGAAAATTAAACACAGACACACAGAAATAAGTGTTCAAAAACTAAGAAAATGGCCAAATTAATTATGGGGACAAGTCTGGAGTTGAATATTATATCCCAGAATTTAATTGAGAAAATTGAAAAACAACAACAGAAGATAAAGTACATGAGACTGAATTAGTGAAATAGAATTTTATGACTTTTGACTAAAACATTGCTGAATTTTCTTCTAGGCTTTGTTGTCCAGTTGTAAGAATTTGTGTCCTTTCTTGAGATGTCAATAAGTTCATGTACCTACCATTTTAACAGAATCCTAACCTGTTTCCTGGCCTTAAGCTTTAAGTAAATTTCCTTAGTATTTCTTTGATTTAAGTTAAAACTGCTTTTCTTGAAATTACCAGCTCAACATGCTATTGAAAGTAGTTAGATTATTTAAGAAATTATGTGATCTATACAATGTGTGGGGGGGGGAAGGAATGGAAGACAACTGTAGATACCAGAGATAGTGTGAGAAGAGGGTGGGAAAGGACAGAAGGTCAGAAATAGGGGTTAAACATATATAGAAATGGAAAAATTTTGACAATAACATGAATGATTAAGCCACTATGTGGTCTATTCTGGATGGGAAATCACATTTTGTATGCTGTGATGATGCTTAGCCTGGCCTTAAGCTTTAAGGAAATTTCCTTAGTATTTCTTTGATTTAAGTTAAAACTGCTTTTCTTGAAATTACCAGCTCAACATGCTATTGAAAGTAGTTAGATTATTTAAGAAATTATGTGATCTATACAATGTGTGGGGGGGGGAAGGAATGGAAGACAACTGTAGATACCAGAGATAGTGTGAGAAGAGGGTGGGAAAGGACAGAAGGTCAGAAATAGGGGTTAAACATATATAGAAATGGAAAAATTTTGACAATAACATGAATGATTAAGCCACTATGTGGTCTATTCTGGATGGGAAATCACATTTTGTATGCTGTGATGATGCTTAGGGAATGAATGTAAATTAATTAAGCTTTTAAAAATGTTTCAGAAAAAAAAAGCCTAAAACTGTTTTTCTTGAAACAAAGAAAAAATGCATTAAAAATGCCTATTTGATGACTGCAGTAAGATGTATAGCCCCAGCTAGGTGCTGCTATATAGTATGTTCACTCTACTCACTGAGGTTTATGCCTAAAGTCAGACTTGTGTTCATGGATATGTATATATAAGCTCTGCTTGCTATTCAGAATATTTAGATTAATTAAAATCTTTAGTGAACCAACAAAATATGGGGGAGGGGAAGGCATAGAAAGCAACCACAGATACCAGAGTCAGTGTGAAAGGAGGGTGGGAGATGGCAGAGGATGAGAGATAGGGAATCAAGGATGGGGGAAAAATGCAAAATATACAGGAAATAAGAAATGGAAAATTATTTGTTGATAACACATATGTTGATTAATGTGCTTGATCGAGCCAATATAGTGTATTCTGAAGGAAAAAAATCTCATTTTGTATGTTGTAATTATGTACAGTGAATGAACGTAAATAAATAAATTTAAATTTTAAAAATTTGAGTTGTCTTCACTTCTTTGGGCTCTTCTGAGTAATGGCATTAGGAACACTGACATGCAAGTTTTTGTGTGAGTGTATGTTTTTTATTTTCTTGAGAATTGAATTATTGACCATGTAGCAACTTTATCTTTTTGAGAAATTGTCAAACTGTTTTCCATAGTAGCTGCAACATTTTTTTTATTTTTTACATTTTCTTAATACATTAAATCACATTTTTTAGCTTACAAGGTGATCATTTCAATATGTGAACATTTCAACCCGGTCCAGTTGACCAAAATATAACAATACTACCTCCCCGTCTCAACAATGTGTGGAGGAGTGGAGCCTGGGGAAAAATATTTGGAGGAGGGATACAGAGTAGCTGCAACATTTTACATTTCCACCTGTAATTATGAGAGTTTCAGTTTCTGCACGTTTTTACCAGAATTATTATTGGCTGGGCTTTTTCAGTTTATTTTAGCCATTTTAGTGAATGTGAAGTGGTACTTTTTCCGGTTTCAGTTTGCATTTTTCTAATGATTAATCCTTGGCTATTTGTATATTTTCTTTGGAAAAATGGCTTGGGAAATCAGCATTGACCTTTTTTTCCAATCACATTCTTATTTACTGACTAAAAACTCTCATGATCTCCTCTTTGCCCTCAAAAAAATGAGTTGATTCTCTCAGAGACAATGTTACAAGAGACAGCAAGAAAATACCCAAAAGAGAAAAGACTGACTTTTCCAACATAATTCTGAAACTGAATATCATCACTTCTATATATTTTATTAATCACACAGACCAACCTTGGTCCAATGAGGGTGGGAAAGGAGTAGTTAACTATGTGAACACCAGCAGGTCACCCAGGAGGCAATCTCACTGTATAACTGCAATTGTGACAACATACTATATGGCTATAAATGAATGTGATTAATCCTTATATATGTCTCAGAAAATGCTTCTAAGCTGAATTCTAAAAACATTTAGGCCTTGGGACTATTATCAATTCAAAGGTTCAGCCATCTCACAGACCTCTTTGAACATGACAATTTAACTTAATCTAGCAGTGTGTGGCAAGCATTGAGAATATCACATGGAGGACTAAAAAGTAAATGTGACAGTCCCTTTCCTGAAGGGCTTACACTAGTGGCTGAGACAGTGATATGCAGTAATATGAAGTGGGAAGAAATCAGCTCTGCTTCAGCTGTAACACAACACAGGAGAGGGAGTGAGCGTGTGAAAGAAAGGGTGAAGTTCCTGCATCCTCAGGTAGTTTCTGTGCAGTATGGGCTCAGGTAACATTGGTCACAATTCTTCTCACTAATTTATCATGACATATCATGATGTCTTAGATTTTGATGTGACTCACAAAGCCTATATTTTGATTTCTATCTTTAGAGTTTTTGAGAAGAGTTTTTCCTT